TTTAATTCATGGTAGTCAGGAACCACCTCCAGCACAGCTCCCCATTCTAGTCAATGCTGCTATTTCCAATTTAGGATTAATGAGCATTTCTTCTAAAATAAGGAAGTGCGGCTGTCGAAGCACAGTTATTTCCAGCAACTTTGGCCTTTGAATCTTTTTGCTAAGAGGAGAACCAGAACAACCCCTGTCCCTCCTCCCCTCTCGTCACCGTCTCCCCGGGCTCGGCCAACACCTTCATTTTCCGTCCTGGCCGGGCAGGGTTGAGCTGGAGCGCGGGGTTGTGCCCGGCTGCGCGACGGGGCCGAGCGGGGCGGACACGGGAGCAGCAACAACAGGAGGCCTCACAGCAATCAGTGCAGGCTCATTTTAATGGGTTTTACAGCTCTTTACGATTCACAAAGCCAGAATATAAGTACTTATACACTTTAAATAGGAAAGTAATATATCCCTAAAAGAAAAATAGATTTGATCGAGTTTGTCATAAAAGTTGCCTCTTACAGTTGAAACTTCCAGCTTCTATGCTAAAAAAGCCCAAATAGACAAGTTATACTGAAGTGTTCTTTAAAGACCAAGCAGCTGCTTTATTAAAATATTAAATTTACATTTTAAAAAGAAATATTCTGATTATTTCAGTTATGATAATCTTGTTGAAGTGACATGAAGCTCATGACAACGGGCATTATTCTGCTTTGGAGAACTGAGGACAGAATTTGTACAACCAACTTTGCCATTACCTAGAAATGTGCAAGATCACATCAGAGAAAAAACAAAAAACCAACCAAAACCCCCAAACCTGACCCACTGGAAAGACAAATCCAGCACGCTGGATTTCAGCTTGATTCTGCTTCAGCACCGGGACGAGGACTTGATCCAAAAGCTGCTTTGAGGAGGCCCCTGGTTTGGACCCAAAGAGCCAGCGAAGCAAAACCGCCCCCCAAACCTCCCTGCTGCCCGGAACAGGGTTCCAAGGAACAGCCGAAGAACAGCCGAAGGGGTAAGAAAGCACCAGCTTTATCCCAGAACACAAGTGAATGACCCTCAAACAACACAGAGCAGGTTCAATTTACATTTTACTTCCAAAAAAAAAAAAAAAAAGAAAAAGGGCAGTACATACATGAAGGGAAAATGGGGTGAACAACAACGATCTGAAACCAGGTTCTACCGTATTCACCCAGTCACCAGCTGCATTTCCACCCCAGGGCTCCTGCCGGCCGTTCCACACTTGCTTGGGAACAGGATTGGGGGTCGAGGGAACATTTTAAAGTTGGGGCCCAAATGGAAACAGTAAGATATCATACACAGTGTAAGTTTATAATACACAGCATTTTGTTTTAAATGACATAACGCAACAGCAGGAAGAAGTAGTAGTTAACAGTTACTAACACTAGAATAATCAAATTTGTATGTTATACATATACAGCAACTAACTGCTTTACAAAAAAGCAAAATAATACAATATATTGTCACATGTATTTACAGTGTAGTAAATATACTTTTCTGTCAAATTTTACACAAAACTATTTACAGGTGAATATACTGCATTAAAAAAAATGGTGGGACCAACACTAAAAGTGACTTTTTTGTGGTAAGTTTGTTGCATAACACTAAGACGTGCTTCATTACATTTGGAAAAAAAACAAAAAACAAAAAAACCCTCTTAGAATGAAACAGAAAAAGCCCTAAGACCTACAACCCAGTTAGGAATAGAGCACTGGAACGCTCCCAAATGCTCGGTCCACAATACTTATTTGAAATGTTTCCTCTTCTTGGAAACCTCATGCACATTAGAGCAGAAACATTGGCATAATTAACAGGTAGGTTATGCACTATTCAAATACTACTGAATTATCTAAGTCAGGGAAAATACAAACACAAACGAAATGTTACTCGTCTTTACAGTACTCGGCTGTAGTAGGTGTGCAATGGATTGCAGGTTCTAAAACAGGGGTGTCAAACATACGGTCCCCACCATGTACTGAAATGGTCCGCAAGTGAAAAAGGGGATTTTTCTGACTCCGAGTTTCCTTTCAGAGCACACGGACCCCCCGGCCACAGGGCTCATGGTCACGGAGCCCGCGGGGGGCCCCGGGCCGCGTCCCAAGCCCTTGATCCTGGCGCACGGACACAGGAAGGCCCAGGAGGAAGCAGCCGGGTGCTCCCCGGAGCGGGACAGGGGAGCGTGGAGAACCCTCCGAACCAGAAAGGGAGACTTTGAGAAAGAAACAGGCAGAGCCGGAGCAAGGGTTAGTCCAGGGAGCAGGGACGAGCGCGGCAGTAAGGCACTGAATGACCAATTACTGAGAGAGGTTTAATTTTACAAAAAGACCATGTTTTCATCCTTTATCTAAGCAACTGTTGGCGGTTACTTCCCTCTGTATCTGGTCTAAATGATCCTGAACAGAGAGCCCGGGCGCAGACTTTATCATACACAAAATTCGGTTGTTTTTTCCCACCGTGTTTGACACCCCTGCTTTAAAACGTGAGGTCCCCTGGGCGCCTCCTGCCCCTCCGCGGAGCGGGGCCAACGCGATGGCTCTGCCGGGGCAGCGGCTCCGCGGCGGCACCGCGCGCGGAGCAGGGAAGGGACGTTCAGCACTGTCTGCTTTGGTTTCACACTGCGCACGGGAAATAACTCACTAATTCCAGTTTAGGGACATCTTTTTGTTGCTGTTGTTCTATAAAGGCAACCCAAAATACTGAAAGACAGTGAGAGGAACTCAGTCCAGACAAAGCTGATTTGGTAGTTAATCTGGATTTATTTAGTTTAAGAAAAATTGCTCATAGGAGAGACAAACAACTAAAACCTATCTTTTTATTTTGTATTTTTTTCATAGCAAGTTATCTTTATGGGGGATTCTTTTTTTTTTCCTCCTATCTACAGTAAGAACAATTTTTCTACAATTCATTGTCTTCAGCAAAACTGAAAGGGCTGGAATTAGCTTGATTCAACATGATCGAGTGCAAATGGACAGTGATTTTCGAGTTAGCTATTTCACAATTTGATGTATGAGATGAGAAAGGGTTTCGAAGCAGTGACTCCCAAGGTTATAAATGCATAGCAGCTAAGAACATGGCATGAGTCACTGCTCTATTCCTAAATTCAATTCTAGCCTCATAATCCATTTCATAGATTTGTATCAATTCGGTAACCACATTTCTACTGCAGTTCCTAGACAATCAATAATAAAATAATTTGATTAATTGCACGAGTCTTCATATTTTCCATGATGTCTATTTCAAGATTATTAATTGTAGATTTTCCTCATGTTTTGGCAAACTATTTGCATATTAAGTTTGTGTTCATAGTTTTTCCAGGACTGTAAACAAATAAAAAAAAATAAACTGTTATTTTATGAATCAATACAATAAAGGCAATTTATTTACATAAACATGTTACATTGTTACTGTGAATAAATGTGAATTATGTGCTATATCAATAACATCTGAACACTTAATTGTACCATTCTCTAAATAATTTAGCTGTGGAATTTGATTTACTGAAAGCTACTAATAAAATTGCACTATAGGATTTTTTTTAATAAAGTGGATATACTTTTTTCTTTAAAGCCACTTATAAATTGATAACTTCTAGCATACAAGAGGGATCTGAAACTATGAAGTTTAACTGTTTGTTAGCAGTAGATACACGTAGCCCTAAAATGAGCACCCAGATGACAGCCCCTTTTGTCAGAATTTATATTTACCTCCAAGATCAGATGTTCTGCACAATTTCAGTCCATAAAGGTAGTATCTGCAGCACTGCGTGCTACATCTTTACACATCATTCAACATAGCAGCATATTATCACAGTCATCCATCGTTAATATACTACTGTAGTTGACAAGTCTTTCACAGTGACAGCAATTTCAGTTTCTTACAACCCCCAAACATGAATCCTTGCAAACCAACCCCCCGGAAAGCTCTGCAAGACAGATTTGACTGCAGAAGTCTATACTGATACCAGAAATTGCACTGCAAACATTCAAACGTAACCTTGATTTGACAAAAATGTCAGTTATCTTCAAATTCATGTACCTTAAGCAAACATTACTGTTTTTATACCATTGCTCGGGCAGCACAAAAGCAGCTTCGCTAAACACCGTCTCCCAGAGTTGGAGGTTACTTCACAGAATTTCCCCCTCCACACCCCAATAGTTGCTCTGCCAGGAATTTCTTGAAGGTGCACATTGTTGGGGAGGGTAAAACTAAAGTATAAGCTAAATGGAAGAAGGAAGCAATTATTTGTCAACACCGCTATAACGACAGCAAAGCCAGTTCTTGATGACTTTCCTTCCACTATACAACCTTTTTTTTAGTGGATTTAAAGTACAGCCAAAAAAACAAAAAAGTTTGCTTTGGAAAAAAGCCAGTTTGTGCAGTCTGGTCCATATACAGTCCAAGTGTGTGAATCTATGGTCTGGGGAATGAAGAGACTCATGTGGCCTCCTTGTCTTCTTAAATTTATTGCTAATTACTGGAAATTTAATCTAATCAACCATTTCTGGTTAAGACCATTGTACTGCAGCTATCATAAGCTTCTTTTAAGTATGGTAAAAAAAAGTCCACAGCTAAAAATCTTACAGGTTTGAATTAAAACCAGGATTACAGTAACTTCCCCTGGTCCTACAGCCACCACCTCGAGAGGTGTGCAAACAGGATTAAGTTTTAACATTTTCCTTTACAGAAGAAGCAAACAAGGCATAACAGAAGCAGGGGAGAGCTCTGAGACGTTGGGGCCGGCCGCGGCGCGGGACGGACGCGGTACGGAACTCGTGGGCGCCCGCACTCGCTCGGGCTGGAATCCAGCACAGCGCAGAGGAGGAGGCGGCGGCAGAGCTCAGAGGTGCTGCGGGTTGGTCATGGGGCGACACGGCTGACGGCATGGGAACGTTAAAAACTAAGTGCAGCATCACACCTGGCGGAGGGCCCTTGGCAAAAGCCCACTTGTCAGTCAGTCTCCAAACAGAAAAAAAAGAAGGAAGGGAGGACAAGGCAGCGCTTCACACGATCTTTTTGATGCTGTGCCGCTTGAAGCTGCCGGCGCTGCGCTGCTTCTGCACCTGGCTGGCGGAGCCGTGGCGCATCCGGCCGCTGTTGGAGTGTCCGGCGGTGGGCGAGAGCTCCACGTTCTCCTTGTCGATGCCTGCGGGGACACAGGGAGCAGAGC